ATATCCTAAAGACAGAGAGATAGAGATAGAGAGCCAGGAGAGTAATGGCAGCCATTGCAGCATCTCAGACTTGAGTTGCAAGAAGAAGCTGAAACATGCTAGAGCTGTTCTCATACAGCTTCAGCCTGAACTGGACTTTTCCAAAAAAACCATCTTCCCTCATGTGAGATAGAGAGCCAGGAGAGTAATGGCAGCCATTGCAGCATCTCAGACTGAGTTGCAAGAAGAAGCTGAAACATGCTAGAGCTGTTCTCATACAGCTTCAGCCTGAACTGGACTTTTCCAAAAAACCCATCTTCCCTCATGAGTGCTCTTCTGGGGAGACATCAGAATGGTGGCATTGTTGGTGACTTGACAGGTTCATGGGACACAAGAGTAGTACCAGGACCTGTGAGATAAGGCTGTCTGAGTGCCTACAGCTGCCTGGAGCATGCCTCAGGTCAAAGGCACCATCAGTGTTTCCTCCCCAGGTGTATTCTCAGGTTTACCTTTCATAGGGGTCTGCAGCAATTCCTGAGAGTAAAAGGCATTTTACCACCCTGGGTTGAGCTGAGCCTCCAAACTGCCCCTGGAATACCAGGTAGCCTAGAATTTTCTTCAGGAAGATGCAGCACAAACTCATCCCAACAGTTTTCCTCCTCTTGCAGGAAAGAGTAAGACAGGGACCAAAAGCTGATGTAACCAGACTAACCACTTGCTCACTGATGTGGCTTCACAGTCAAATGCACTTCTTTCCAATTAATTGATTAATCATTTTCTCTAACATTCCTAGATATTTTATCTGAGTGTACTAAATTAGATTTAAGTGGTGAGCAATACAGTGGGAATACTAAAGTGAACATTAACAGTGATTTGTTACAGAAGGTGAGCAATAAAGGTTATCACATAAAGTTGACATAAACATAATAGATGGGGTAATTATGTACCTTATTTATTCTAGTTGCTAAATCTTTCACTGCATTGTGCAAAGGGACATCTGCATTTTTAATAAAAATGCAATTTAAAAAAAAAGAGAGAAGCACCAAGACAGAAGACAGAAGAGACATGGACAATGGCAGAAAGGCAGAAATAAGATGAAATACTGATACCTAGACAGAAAAAAGGAAAGGACTATAGTAATAGGTCTTAGCATTGATATTTGTAGATGGTGATAAGATTCCAAGCCCGAAAATTAATTCATTTACATGAGTTTCTCCTGACAGAGCTTTTCACCAAACAGCTTTTTAGACTTTTTAGACTTTTTAGATTTTTAGACTTTTTTGTTCTCCTGCGCTCCTTCATGAGGGAAGAATTGTTCCATTAGTTGGATTTTCTTGAGCTTGTTAAAATACAGCTCACATAGATTAAACAGAGTCCTTAGAAGATTTGAGTCCGTTTGCTAATCCAACAGCAGACCTTTCCCACTTTTGGAGGGTTAGTTTTCTACCAGCTTAGGGGGTTGAGCTGGGTCTCTGAAAGCTTAGCCAAGAGCTGGTGTGGCACGAAGGGAAGCAGGAGAAGCAGCCAGCTGGAGCTGGATAGGCAGGGCAAGGATGTCCCCTTTGGTGTCAGCTGGCTGCTAGACTGTTTGTCTGGTGTTGGGCAGAAAAAAATCAGTTTGTGAAGACTCAGAGAAACTCAGAGGTGTTGGGAGAGCAGGAGAGATGACAAACAACTGTCTCCATTTCAGCCCCAGAACAGCCAGAGCCACCCACACGGTTTGTGGGAGACAAGCTCAAACCTGTTTAATACTAAAGATGGACTGAAAGCCAAGAGCCAGCTGTACTCTGAATGCTTGTCACATTTCCTGAGTGAACCTCTCTTCTCATTTTCCTCTGAATTATAACTCACCACCAGCAGAAAAATGAAATGGAAAAGAGAAGTTTGTTTTCTTCCAAGCTTCTCTAGAAACTGAAAAAACTCCTTAGAATTCAAGTCTCGTGAGACATATTGACAGTTGTCAATATTTCGGACTGAATTATCTAGCTTTAATAATTAATGATTGTTGTTAACTGCTGCCCAAGCAGGTAGAAAGCAGTAGGCAAATGATCCCTAATTTTTTTTCCAGCCACAGAGCAGAAAGAACAGTAGTGCATAAGGACAAGCCCACCATCAGGTGTGCTGGGGCAAGCAGCCTTTTTGGTCCTGCCTAGGGAGATGCTGCTTGTGGGTCAGTGGTGGCTCACACACTTCTGGTAGGAGCTGGAGGAACTGTGCCTCCTGCCAGCCTTGAGCCATGTCCTCTCTGAAATGGCTCTTCTCACCATGACAGCCCTTCTCTGTGCTGTTGACAAACTGCCTTGGTGCCACCTGTGAACACATGTGGGTTTCCAAGTCCTTCAGTGTTGCACCAAGACAGTGCACCTGCTGCAAGCAGGATCAAACCCCTGTATTAGCCTGGACATGGGAACAGAACTGGGACAACACTGCTAAAAGTATTTCTACCACCCTCCACTGACACCTCCACTGAGGTATTTTTGTTGCTGCACATCTCTTCCCAAAGAAGTCTTCACTAATGTTTCACTACGAAGTAAGAAAAAGCAAATATTAGGACATGGGCACAAAAATAGAAGGCTAAACTTAGCATGTCAAATTATTGTTCAAACACTGCAGTATGCAGTAATAAAAGCATCTGTATTGCATTCTGAACTATAACTTGGATTACATGCCCAGGGCGAAATAGTAGAAATCACCTTTGATGTTTGCTGAGGAGTGAATCCTTTGTTGTGCCTTTTCACCTAAACTGTAGGAGGGATAAGGGTGGAATGACTGGAACAGGTGCCCTTAGCCAGCAGGAGCACACTTGCATGAGCAATGTCCTCTTTTGGGCTGTGCCAGCAGCCTGGTGCTCTTCTCTCCTCCTGCTATCCTCTGAATAAGACCAGGAAGAGAGATATAGGAGAGAACTGGGAACGGATACATGTCTTGAAACTTGGTATCCTGATAGATTACCAAATCTTACTCAAGGCTGAGATAGTCATTCAGAAAATGAGAACACTCCCCAGAAATGCCTTCATGGAGGATATAGAGTCAAAGTTTTGAAGGCAGAAGCTAATCAGCCAATGATATTTGACTGAGTACAGTGTGTTGCAAACAACCTCACCAAAAAAAAAAAAAGTAAAAAACAAACCAAAAACACCACCAATAAAAACAAAACCTCAGAGAAGAGCGAGATCTACTTTTTTGGTTATTCCCTATAATTACTCACCCATTGCAACCTGAGATTTTTTAGATCTCATTTGAGCTGCAAGAATATTTCTCAGCAAGCTCCTCTGACCAGCCAACTGCAAAAAAACATTGAAATATGATAAGCGTATAAGAGCATTAAATGGTAGCATTCTCCATCACCCACAGCCTCTGTCAGTTGTGTTTCCAGGCCAGATGAAGCTAGAATGCACGTACAGCTGTTCTGAGTTGTAAAATACATTTTGAAATGGGATTGATTTGTCTGTGTTTCATGAGATTGACTTAAGCAAAAGAAAAAAAAGTATAAAGACTTGTCTTTTTTCCAAGCATTTAATAGAAATAGTCTAACTGGAACATAATAGAGATGTGCTTTCAGCACACAGATGTGCTGTAGTGAGAGCCACGTTTTATGTAAGCTGCTTATTCTTTTGTGCAGTGTCAAGAACTGAATGTACTTTCATACTCTGTTTTTTGGCCTTGACATGAACTAATATCAAAGCAAATGAAGACCTGGTGGTAAATCCTTTTCAGCACTGCTAATGATTGTGACCATTGTGGGGCTGTTCCTGGCTGTCTAATCGTCTTTGGGATATTGAGCTTTTGATACATAGACCATGTATTCTGAATTTTGATTTCTGCTACAAAATTTGCTGGTGTGATTCATTTTTAGGGGATCAGAAAGGTGTGCAGGTCACACACTGTAGAGTATATTCAAAGCAGATTTTATAGTGAGCTTCAGTGGGTAAAGTCATTAAGGGTATAATGAGTGATCTGAACAGAATTACAGGGGCAAAAGTTCATGACAGCATGTCTTACCTATAAAAATGCATTTTAGTAGAAAACTGAGTTACAACTGGAATTTTTTTCACATGCAAGGCAAAATATGCAGAACAGCAACTGAGCCTGATCATCTTCTTTGAGTTCCATTGTTTGCTTTATAGTTAGGGTTTTGTATTATGGCTGTCTAGATTTTACAGCCACAAATGTGCCAAAACCCTTGACTGGTTCATTCAAGTTGATTAATAAGCAACATAAAATGTCTACTTTCTTTAACACCTGCAAGCTCTGTTTCTTCGTGTTTTGCAAATGTAAGAGGTACAGATATGTGCTTTGACTTTGATCCTGTAAACCAAAACTGTTCAAGTGGTAGATCCTGATCTAGGTTTGGACAGCAAGGAGATGTTTCCCAGGTTTCCTCTGAAACCCACAATTGTGTGGATGAGCCTCTGTTTTCTGTTGTTCCCCCAGCTGGTCCGGGAGCAGCTGCACATGCAGGCAGTACAGGTGCTGGGCAGAGCTGGACCCAGCACGCTGCTTTGCAGAATATGAGCCCATGGAGCTTGGTAAAAATAAAGATGCCCCTGCAATTGTCCCTTCAGTATCATGACACCTGCACTGGGGTTTTTCTGTCAGAGATTTCCATGGATTTCATGGCATTCTGCTCCTCAAGAAATGTCAGAACAGGAAAGAACACCGTGTCTGCTCCCGTCACCCCACTTTCGCCCTGCTCCATCTTCACCTCTTGCCAGCAACTTACCCTTTGGGGAGGGTAGATCACAGAGCCACAAACCTGGTTGAACAGCTTCTGCTGCAAGGAGATGGCTGGCCTCATCCCAGCCAGCAAGTGGCTTTGTGCACCCCAGGGTCCTGTGGAGACAGGCAGATTTCTTAGAAGGACTCTCTTCTGATGCTATAAATTGTGATTCAGAGTGATGACAGTACTGTAACAGCAAATAGATCCTACCAAATTTCTTTGTTATTTCTTTGTAATTGAAAGAACTTCTAAATCAAAATAACAAAGTGTGAACTGTTTTCTCTTTCCTCTTTTTGCTCAGAAATCGAAGCAAAAGAAGCGTGTGACTGGTTACGTGCAGCTGGATTTCCCCAATATGCTCAGTTCTATGAGGGTAAGTAGGTCTTTCTCCTCTTTTTGTGTGGTTCTGAAAGTGCACTGGGCCCTCGCCAGGACAGCTTGCAGTCGGCCAGCTCCACATTTGACTGAGTTATGGCCATGGCTGGATGCTTCACAAAGCCTCAGCTGCTGGAGTCAGACCAGTGCATAAAGAAAAGTAAGATTCTTACCCTTGTAACCATGGGAAGTTTAAAAAAAAAAGGGCGGGGGGGGTGGGTTGTGTAGACATAACTTATGTAAACCTCAAAGGTTAACAAAAACAACTACAAAATATCTAAAAACATGAGTTTATTTTCTAAAAACTTTATGAATCGTGCCTGAAATAAGATCAAGACACTAGAAGTTATTGGAAATTTCAATCATGCCAAAAGTATGACTGAAAACTCTGCAGAGTTACCAAAAGTGAATCATTTGAGCTGCACTTCACAACTGCGAAGTAAGAAAAGCTGAGATTTCAGTGCTAACTCCGTGCAAATGGTGGTGTCCCCTTCCTGGGTGTCAAGTTAATGCCCAGGGAAGCAGTGTCCCCAAGAGCAGGGCGAGTGGTTGCACTGCTGCTGTGTTCCATAATAGTTTGGGGACAGGAGCTGGATTTTTCCTGCTCTCCCCAGCTCAGCGCTGAGAGGAAACTGTGGCTGAGCCTCGTTTTTCCCAAAGTGCATGTCCTCCCTGCCAGAGTCACCCAGCTCAGGCCCACTCGGGCTTATTAGCAGAAAGGCAGCTCTGCCAAACACCTCTGGACACCTTCCAGGGTCAGCGTGAGTCTGGAGGCAGCACAGATCCACTCATGGAACCAGGGCCAAGGAGCCTCATGGGTCAGAGCCAAGTCTGCAGGGACTCAGCTCGGACGCCACCCTCCCCTCGTGTGGGGCTGAGGATGGCAGGGAGTGGGATGCTGAGGATGCCCCCGTGGCCAGCTGAGCTCCATCAGGGCCCAGGTCCTGTTGGGCTGCTCAGGTGCCTGGGGACAGGAGCACCACTCAGAGAGGCTCAGGTGGCTCCACAGGAGGCAGGCAGACTCTGTTAAATCCAGCAAGGAACTAAGACTAATAAGGCTGCCAGGCCAAAACTGACACAATGTGTATCTAGCACAGTCCCAGGGTAGCCAGCAGTACTTTTGTGTCTGCCTTGTATTCGGAGTATGTCACACGCTGACTGCACCAGCGAAAGGAGCGCCTGCTGCCTGCTTAACTCAAAAGGATGTTCTCTCCAAAAAACAACCTGTGCTGGGCTCCAACAGTTCCCATGCAGTCAATATGTGCTCTAGACAGTCTATGTCTCCAAAAACAAGGTGCTTTTCACAGGCATCTATTATGTCAGTGTTCAGCAGTAGTGTCTGAAAATGCTGGCTGAAGTTCCTGAATCCCAGCATCCTGCTGAGGTACCTAAGCATGGCAGAGCAGTCTGGAGAGCAGCCACAGCACTGGAACCTGTCCCACTGTTACAGAGCTATGTCACTTTTCATTGCAAATGTCAGCTTCCAGCATACTATTCTGGCTTTTTAACTAATATTGGGGATTATAATTCAGTTTGGGGTTTTGGTTTTTTCTTTGTCTGTTTTTTCAGTAACCCTCTGTCTGAAATCATTGTTATTTGGATCTGGTTTAAAAACAAAAAGCACAGAACATTTCTGGGGCTTTGGCAAAGTCTGTGTAGCAAATAACTAATTAAGCCACTGTAATGAGAAGGGAAAACCTTGTTGCTCATGTAAAGTAAGTGTGGTGGTAATTCCCTGATCTCATCCTTTTGTGCAAGGTGCTAAAATGAACAGTGAAGTATTTTTTAAATCCAATATGAAATAGTTTTGCTATCACTCTAATGCAGTGGATGTTCAGCTATACCTCTAACAGAAAAAAACCCAATATGGTGTCAGGAAGGGTCACAGATACAGCTGGAAGGGAACCAGAGCTGAGTGAAATTGGTCATACTAGATTTCAGTGAGCAAGCACATGCAAAGCAATTTAGATGTAGACAATGTGTTTCCACTTGAGTAGCAAGTGGTCATCTTAATATTGTGTCTCCTTTTACAGACTCCCAGTTTCCCATTGACATTGCTGCAGTAAAGAAAGATCATGATTTTCTTGACAAGGACCTTGTAGAACCTCTTTGCAGGTAAATAACACTCCAAGTTTCTTTCCTGATAATTTAAAAGCATGAGATGATTTTTAAGTGTTGGCATAGCAGCAATTGAGGTGTGTGCTTGTCCAGGTGCATTAAGTGATGAGATCTATAATGCCACCATTCTGAGTTAATTTCTTTTACAGAAGATGCTGCAGTAGGAGACCCACTACACTCACAGAAACAATCACATAATTTGAGAAGACCCAAATCCAATGGATTTGAAACGGATGCTTTTTAATAACCAGCAGTAGTGCAAGCAAACCCTGAATAAATGAGAGTCACATTTGAGTTGCACATTAATAACTCTTATGGCTAAGTCCAGCAAAAAAGATGAAACTTCATTGCAGAGAATTCAGCAAGCCCTTTTCTCTGGCAGCAGGCACAGTTTTTATACTGATGTGATTCCCTTGGTACTGTCATTTGGCACCAGTAACAGAAGTGGGACCAGACCCAGTACTACAGACCCCCCAGCAGTACAGATGCTACAATTGATCAGTGCTGTGCCCCTCCCAGCGGTCCTGTGTTTGCTGTTTATCTTGCTTTTTATACTCTGTGATGAATATACCATACTGCATTGCTCAAGTCCTGTCCCCCAGGACTCAAAACACAGCAATTCTGTGGCAGTTTTGCAAAACCACATTGCAGAGACATTGTTCCCCTCTTCTTTCCCCTGTGCTCAGCTCAAGCTGGGCTCTGCTCCTCTCCTCTTCAAGTCAGGACAAAGGAGCATCTGGCCCTTAACCAAGCAGGCTTCATTACATGTTATGGAAACTTTCACAACACCAACAGCATAATTGGACAAGACTCTATTTCCCCTTCTGCAACTGTGGCTGAAGTCAGCAGAGATGGCTTTAGGAGATGCTGTTCCACATCATACTGTACATTGTAAGGATTAATGAGTTTGTGGTGGAGGAATGCAGAGAAGGTTTCTGAGAAGCACCAAAAATAGGGCTGGAAGAGACTTCATCTAGTCCACCTCTCCACCCCAGGCTATGCCCCCCTTCCTGGCAGATCCAGGTAGTTTCTGGGCATAGCTGTCAGATTGCTTTTCTAAAATTCCCCTGCTGCAAGCAAGACCTGTTGCTACTCATTCTGTCTATTGTGGCTATGGGGAACAGAATATTCTCTTTCTCTGTGTAATAGCCTTTGTGTCTGAAGGTAAACCAGTAGGAAAGACCTGGATTCTCCAGTGGTCTCTCTCACAGATGCCTGATCCACTGCTGTTCTGTGCTGCTTGCTGAGAGAGACTGCTGTGCCTGAGATGCACACACCTGAGATACCTCCTTCCCATACATATGTACATCCCCCTGCTTCAGTCTGGCATGATGGAAGACATATTTTGCTGTAGTTTGGGAACTGGAAAGTGATAGAGATAGGAGATTGAGATCTCTTCCCCTCTGCCCTTTACCACAAAATTGAAGGGCCATTAAAAATGCAAGAAAGATGTCTGCTCCTGCCCCTTTCTTGTGAGAGAAAACAGTGAGATATAGTCATTTCATAGCTCTGTGATTCTCCCTAATCATTCTTCTCTGGAGTAATTGGCAATGGTGTTGCTGCAGTCATGGTCACCAGCCAGCCAACACCTACACAGCTAAAAATGGGAACAGCTTATCTCTTGCTCTTCCAGCCTCTCTGTAGACTCACAGATACACCTACAGTTACACTATGCTGATATATTTATGAGGATTATTTTGCAAGCTGAGAAGCTAGAGACTTGGTTGGGTTGGGTTTTTTTTCTCTTTTATTAAAATATGAGGGTTTGGAAAATTAATTAGCAGCTAGATAGATGCACTCATGGGAAAAAATACTTTACATTAGCCTAAATCAAGGGACAATGATGAGACCTATAGAAAAAAAGCATAGACACAGATATTTCCACACTTTAAAGATAAATGGGTTTATTACTCTCTAACTACTTCTTCTGTAATTATTTTATTCAGAAGACAATACCTGTTTGCTTGAATTTTTGTTGGGAGTTTTAAAACACCTCAGATCTTAAAAAGGAATAGCTTCTCATAATATTAAAAATGCAAGTATTATGTACAGTTTATGTTTTCAGATTGCAGACATTTAACTGGGTGTAACTCAGCAGCTTCAAGCCCTTCACTGAAAGCGAGCCATAAAAAGCCATTGTACCAAATGCCAAGATTCAGATTCATCAGAAACAGTGAAGAGTGTCAGCTGCTGCCCTCAGTTCCAGCTTTGTTACTCTATGAGCTATCAAACCAGCATCTCCCAAGTTTTCCAGTGCAATGGAATACCTCACAGCTCAGCTGATCACTGTGGCCAGTTCTCTGCCCTTCCTTTGCTCTGCAATGGTGTTACTGCAAGGTGCATGCCAGTGTACCACATGAGAGCTGCAGGCTGTGATGCACTTTGAGGAAAGAGAAAGTCATAAAAGGCCGGTTATTGTTTCTGTGTGCAGATTCCCAGGTTGGCAGTCAAACTTCCATTCTTCTAACATTCAAAGCTGCCCTTAAAGCTGTGCGTGACCAAGCCATCACGCTGACTAATAGTGCATTCAGCACATAGTGCTGAACAAAACGGGCTTCTCATTTCTTTTTGGAAGATAATTTTGAAGCTGAAATGCCAGCATGGATAATCAGTTTGAGCAGTTTTAGCTCTGAATTGTAATAGCATAAACACTGAATTTCTCTGCTCTTGTGGGTTGAAATCAGACTCTCAATCTCATTTTATAATCAGTTTTCTTATGGCATTGAAGTATACCAGACAACGTGAGGCACAAATGAGGAGGAGCCTTTTTTAAGGCAGCTGGTAGTATTTTAGTCAGAAAGTCTAAGACTCCCTGTTGTAAAAGATTTCAGTGACCTTTTTGAGATATTCTAACATTCCTGCTGTTTACAACATAATTCGAAAATTTGGCAGAGTAAAAACCAAATTTGAGGCCTTTGGGTTAGAGGCGTATCTATCAAGAGATTCCACTCAGATTTTATTGAGTAATGAACAATAGAGAATTGCCAGGCAATCTGCAGGCAAACGCTGTCATCCTGCCAAAACAATAATTGAGCATGAAAATTTTATAGCTGTGTCACATCCAAAATAGCAGCAACCAACTCTGCTCTGGGAACTCTTGTGGCTGCTGTGATAAGAAGGTGAGAAGGAGAAGCCAAGCCATGTTGTACTTTTTGTATTCACGTAAATACAGTGACTAAGAACATGAAGAACAAGTATATAACAGCCTGATACAGTTTCCTAAACCAAGCTCTTAAAATTTGAGCTGTGCCAAGCAGTCTTTTTTTCCAGAGCATTTTATTTTTCCATAGCTGTTGTCTCTCAGACAGCTTGTAAACAAAGTGAAGGTTGCTGTATGGGATGGGACATCCTCTCACCAAAGTTCTGAAATGGTGGATGCATATCAATGGATGCAGTCATGCAGTCAGTACCATCTGCTAGGTTATCTTGCTCTAGGTGCTGTTGGGGGACAAGCCTGATTCTCCCCATGCAGGACACAAAGCCCTGCTCTGGAGGTGGCAGAATGGCTCCCACTGACTTCCAGGAGAGAGTATTCATCTCATGTGAGCCCGGAGCCTACAAGGTGACTCCCTCAGTAGCAGCCATGATACAAAGGCGATAGGACTGGAAAATAGTATATTCTCTTCATGCACAAAAATGGTGGAGCAGGGACATGCCAGTGCCAGCCTAGCACACCAGCCCTAATCGTGCTGGGAGGACTCTTATTCAGTGTTAAGACCTCAGTAAAGCCCAGCATCAAGAGCTTGATGTCCTCTTCCCAAAGCTGACAGCACAAGAAGAAGCCAGGCACGGACATGTGTACGTAGCACCTAAACTTGGTTAGGAATAACAATAAAACAAAGAAATAGTGTTGTGGTTCCCTCAGAGGGCCATTTACAGAACCACACAGCATGTTTTCCTGGTCAAAATCCATAAGAGAGGGCATTTGCTGATCTGCTGATGCAGAAGACACTGTACTTCCATGCTTGTCCTCCCCGTGATGCCTTTCCTTCATGGCTGGCCTGTAGCCCTGGCTGCATTCCAAAGCACCTGCTTGAAAGTAGCTGCAGAACAGGTCCAGGGATCCACCTGGAACTCAAACTCACTTCAGAGCTGTCTCCCTATTACTTAGATTGCTCCCTTGTACTTGGATTGCTCTTAAAGCAGGACAACAGGTCCCCCACAAGGTTTTCCAGCTGGCCTGAGCCTGCATAGCTACAAGCTTGCATTTGTTTGTAGACATTGCTCAATGCTGTAAAGAATGCAAAAGGAGGAGATTTCCTGCTTCTGAAGAATGTCTCTCATAAGAGTTAACAATTACAGCACTGGGATTCAGAGCCCTAAGGACTTGTGTCTGTGGCCATCTTAAGTCTCCTCAGAGAGCCCAGACTTCTCCATGGGTTGTCTGGACCAAGGTAACCTGCAGCTGAAGGCCAGGCTTGATACTCCAGGGGATCTAAAATAGCACCAAAAACATCTGCTTGGGCACCTGAAATCTTTGCTGGCTTTTTAAGAATTATTTAAAAATCTTAAGCCACCTTTGATGAGAAGAAATAAAATTAACATCACTGAAACGCTGTAATACATGTTTTCCAGTCTTTCCCTGACAACGCAGAAATTTCCAGATACACTTTCAAATGCCTCTCAGATTATTTGGGTTTTATATAGCCACCTCTCTTGTGTTTATTTAATGTGGTTTTCCCTGCCTTTTCTCAAGCCCAGACTTTGTGTTTTGTTAACAATACAAACAGGCATTCTTTTCCCATGTTTTTTAAGCAGTGGCATAAAAGTGCAGTGCTCCTCTCACTTCAGCTGGAACATTGGTGACAGCCTTTGTAGCCAGAAACTTCTGGGTTTTTTTTCTTTTCAAATGACTTGCTGAGGAGTTGACTGTCAGTCATCTGACAACTGTAAACTGATGAAAAAAAGCTTTCTGCCACAACTGGCACATCAACAAGGCGAGAGAAGCTGGAAAAGACTGATTTTGATTTGAGCTGTTAGTACCAGACAAACTCACAAATATGATCATTAGTTCTGTAATTTCACTGGCAAATCTTTCCACTGGAAGAGCCCCAAAAAACATAACAATGTTTTGCAGAGGGGTGAATTTAAAACCTGGGGTTAAACTCCCTGGCGCCCAGTAAAAAGTAGTTTTGGTTTTGGTGGAGCAAGTGTGGAAATGTAGCTAGACTTTTCCCTTCAGCACAGGCTAGCTGACAAAGAGGTGCAGGGACTCCAATATTAGCCAATATTCAGCACTAAGAAACTGTCCCCAGAGATAGAAGGCTGGGCTGGAGTCATTTGAAAATGTGCCTCTGCATACTTGGAATTGGTATCAATACACACATTTAAACATTTTGTGCTCGAATGAAGCACTGAACATTATTCAGCCCCAGGGCCCCAGGAAAATGCTACTTTGGGTTGAGAAATTCTGTGTTTGGGCAAAAGAGGAGTTTTGCAATAATAGATGTAATCCCAGAAGAAGATTTGTGGGCAGAAGGCTGCAGATATAGCTACACAGCCACAAACCCTGGAATTTATCTCAACATTGCTATCATGCATGCAGGGTGTGCTTGTGCATACATTAAACCCAAATTAATACCACGAGCACAGGACTTTTCTGATGCAGCATAACAGATTTATTGGCTTGAGCTAGGGAGGAATATTTGATCTATAAAAGAGCAGGTGATATTTTCAGAGGGATTTTTTTTTAAGGAAGATCCACATTTGGTGGGTCTGTTCTTTGTTAGTGGTGGCAATCTGAAAGGTATTCTAATATTGCAAGTTCTGCAGAGAAATATGTTAATGCCATAATCTTCTTATGTGAGAGATTATATTATTGATCTGATACTTTTTTCATGTGTCCTTGTAACTTATCACATGCATTTCAAATATTAAGGTCTGGAAATTGAAGGCCTCTCCCTGCAACCCAAAAGCAACAGAGACAGGTCTTGCTATAAAAACACAGGAGATGCAAGCAGCCAACAGAGGAGTTGTTGTGGGCCTGTGGCTGTGGGCATGTGGCTCTCTCACTCTGCCTCTCTTCATTTTGAAATTCAGTCCTAGATTTGGAAAATTTTCAAAGTCAAACATATTTAACTTTGAGCCTCTGCTTTTAGAATTTGGATGGTTTCATGGATCACGATCTTTATGTATAAATAAAACCAAATCAATTATCATTACCACAGGAGGTTCTCTATTGAAAGGGCATGTTTACTTGTCCTCTGGCTGTCCTTGCACATGAACACACACATGCACACACACACACACACACACACACACACATACACAGAGATTGTCATTTCAACTCACTGTCATCACAGGATAGCCTTGGATTTAAGGAGCAGAAGCCTTACAGAGACTCTGGTAACATTAGTATGAACATGGTCAAAAATAGCTAAAAATATTTATTTTAAAACGTTAGATTTTTTGTATGTTGGGTGCGTTAACCTGTGTGTAAGATACACAGATAGGAGAAAAGCTTTGGAGAAACTTTTAAGCAGCAGCTAGAAGTTCTTTATGTCAACTTTTTTAAAGAAGTGCCAACTGCCAGAAGTGAGGAACTGCAGCTGGTTTTTTGTTTGGTCTTTCACCAGTACTTTGAAATCCCTATTTTAGGCCAATTATGTTACAGTCATTTTTGATGCCTTTGCATAAGGCAACTCACCTCCTTCTCTTGTCATTTCCCCAGCTATCACAGGTGTTTGTTTATAGTTGTTTCTTGTGCTAAGTACAGAAATGTCTATGAATTAAAAAGCAATCTATCAAACCTGGCTGTCAAGTAAAGTGAAACTAAGGGTCCCTTTTCATGCAGTGGTCATGTAGCTGGAATAGATGACCAGTGTCCTTTCTGAAGCTGTTATATGTGGTTGGCACCCTACAATAAGATAAGAGAATATGTTTTGAACTTGCAAAAAGTCATGTCCTTTAGTCAGAGACTGCTAATCTTTTGAATTTGCTTTGCCCTGTAGACGGCTGAACACACTGAACAAGTGCGCCTCAATGAAACTCGATGTGAACTTCCAAAGAAAAAAGGTAAGGGAACTTCAGTAAATATACCCTGGTTTTTGTGACAAGACCACCCCAATTTAGCCTTTAATTCAATAATGCTCTTAAAAGTGAGTTATTTTACTTTGAACATGCATGTCAGCATTATCTGGTCGCATGTGAATTGCTGAATCTTGAAATTATAAATAGAATAGGAACTATGAGTAAATACTACGTGTGTTAGAAGGGCTCACACAGTACTTAAACTCTACATGTGTGCAATTAAAGTTAGCGGGTGAAAACTCATTAGACTGGCTTGTTTGTCAGTGCTATATGAGTACACAGTGGAAAATCCTGCTCAGAAAAAATGGAAGCTGCTCAGATGAAAACAACAGCTTTTCTTTGTTTCTTGTACTGACTTCTTCCCAGTTAAGAATATGCAAATAAACTCTGTCATCCTTACAAGCTTCTGTGTAACATGGGAATTATCTGAGCATAAAGGGTTTCAGTGAGGGCTGCAGAAACAGCCTGTTGATTTTGAGAGTTTTGTAACATGTCCAGCATTAACTGTTGAATGTTTGGTTTCCTGGTCACAAATTCCCCAAAGTCCTTGAGTGTTGTACAATGGTAGTTGTCAACTCTGAGAAATCTTGGTTCCTGTTTTTCCTTCCTAGAGTGTTTTCCTAGTGCTTTTTAAAAACTGACTCCACGAGCTGAATTTTTGATGTTTTTTGCAAATTCAGTCTCATCATACTCTATTCAGTGTTTGAGGGAACTTGAACAGAGGATGGTTTCAAAGTCCAGATATCCTGCTTTGGCACAGGAATATTTATTCCTTTGTGTAATAGCCTCTTTAGCTTCTATTTTGTCCATTCCCTGGAGCTGCAGGGACATCACTGCATCAGGGGTTTTTCTTGTCTTGGGTTTTATGTTGTGTTGAAAAGGGAGGATTTTTTTTGGTTACGTTTGTTTTTCATTAATTTTTTGCTGCCACTCCTCCCTGTTCTGAATGGACTGAAGTCCTCAGCAGCTCTCCTTGCAGATGACCACTAATTTGTGGTGGAAGAGACATGGCCCTAGTTAGTACTCTTTAAGAGGACAGAAACTAATTGGGTCCATACCTACACAAGGCCACGGAGAAGTTCAGCACAGAAAAATGTAGGCAAAGAGGAGTTGGAGGAGATTTTAGTCCACAGATACAGAGCAACTTAAAGTAGAAGAGAATGTGGGTGGGAGAAGAGGAGGAAGGAGAGCCTGCTGACAGTAGGAAATGTAAATGCAAGCATAAAAGCCAGAAACTGGGTCTGAAATTGATCACCAAACTAAATAAATCTTTGGCTGTGGATACTGCCTTCCTAATAGTCTCTATGGTGATCTGAACAATGAAATGCAAAATCAGCCTGCTTTGGAGCTTCAGCATAACAGGTATGCACAGGACTAGCACAGCTGCTTGAGTGATTGACCAAAATATGGCCAAGCAAGCTGCCAGGCAAGGCTCCTGTGAAAGACAGCTCAGCATGAGCGTTCCCTGCTGCCCACTCTCCCACCCAGACCATTCCCACCGTGGGCTGCTGTCTTCCCTTGGCTTCATCAAGATGCAAACAGAAATCCTCATGTATGTGTTGCAAATATGTCTGTAAGCGATTTGGACAGACAGAGATTAGCCTTTGGATTAACTGCCTTCTGCAGCTGTCGATTTATGAGAATTCCTGCCCCCAGCTGGAAAAATGTGGCAGAATTCCACTGCAAATAAATCCACTATTTGCCTTTTGTTAGCATCCCTCTGTATTTCAGGCAAGTACACCCTCAGTCAAAAAGCTGTACTATTTTAAATCAGCTGTGACAAATCTGTGAATCAAAACCTCTTTCTCTTTGGCAAATGTTACCAGTCAGTCCTCAAGAAACTTGCCCCTTCTCATCTTCCCAAACATAATGGTGTTAACTGGACTTTTGAATATGCTCCAAAGTGGTGCACTTGATTTCACCCCAGGTCAGTAGAAATATACAGTCACTGCTCCAAAATGTCTGCTCTGCCTGTGTCAGATGAATCATTGCTTGCAGACCTTCTCTTGATCCGCTGTCCCCCTAGCTGGTGACATGTGGGTGGGCTAAATGCTCTCAACATTTTTTTTTTGGACAGTTTTGTTTGTCAGGACACTCAGATATCTGACAAGAACAGTGGGTCATTCAGGATGTTCGTGGCTTCCAGAATTTCTATTGATTTCATCAAAAGAAAAGCACAGTCTGTCATAGGACTCATGGTGCAGCTGAATTTGTAGTGAGTCACCATGGCAGTATCTCAGCATCCAGATATTTCGTTTCATATTTGCCTGATTTTGCTTCTGATGAAACACAAGCGTGTTTCTTTATCAATTAAAAGAATTAAAAGAAACTAAGCCTTTATTTAATTGAGCTGCAAATTTTGACACTGAAAAGCTTCTGTATATTCTAAGTAATTCTTGGGCAGAATGTAATCCTGTCTTTGCTGTGGTTAGAGGCAAAACTTGTTTACTATCAATATCCATTTCTGTTCATCTCTGCTTTGTCAAAAAAAAAAAACAAAAAAAAACCCCAAAAAACACAACAAACCCAAAAAACCAAAACTCAAACAAACAAAACAAAAACATAAAAAAACCCCCACAAAATAAAAACCCCACCAAATTTTTATTTAAAGTATATTTACCACCGAATTTATTTTTATTTCTGTCTTCTGCTCTGTGCTCTCTTCTTGGTGTTTTTTGCAATGTCTCTACCACTTTGGCTACTTTAATCGATTCCAGCTTGTAGAAAATACAGGCTAAATCCTGTCAGCTCATACAGTAATGTCAGTGCAGCTACAGGGATTTGTGTCAGCCAAGAATCTTCTTTAAGGTCCCTTTGGCATATTGCAATGTAGAACAAATTTTAAAAATATGTTTATCCTGCTGGCTGGTGCCACCAACGCTTCAGCAGTGGTATGCTTTGTAGATATAATTACCACTACTAAATATTTAAAAGTACGTACCCTTGCGGTTTTTAAAATATCCACCTTGTGGCACTACTAAGACCACAATAAATAGATTCTTAAGTTCCTGAGGCTATGCAGTCCTTTGGTCCATATATGCATACAGCAAGCTGTGGAATTAAAACAAAGGTAGAACTGTCTGATGTGCCATTTCTTCCCTGCAGACAAAATGGCCAAAGCAGTATTTGCCTTTTCTAGCCCCTTTCCTCATGCTTCGCTAGGTGCCCAATTTTTCTCTTTACCAAGCCACAGAATGAGGGTCTCCATTCATTCCTGTAAACTCACAGGAGCACTGCACACCTCAGTGTTAACAAAAGAAAGATGAATGCCTAAATGCAAAATTTCACAGCTATATTTTATTTTATGGTTTGGACATGATCTAAAACATCTGGCTGACTTAGAGTGATAAACTGGCAAAAGTTTATGGCATCAGTGAGACCTAGCACGCTACTGATCCCAATCTCCAGCTTTTGAGGTTTAACGTTATTTAAGGTTTTGGGTGCTCTTGTAAAATTTGGTTTACATTTTTCAATTAGACAGGCCAGCAAAGATCAAGTCAAAGATTGGAGATAACTTTACCATCGAAACTTCACATAAAAATACTTCTAATAATAGACTTTTAAAATGAGAATTTTTCCAGTCCCGAAATAGTCTTTCTGGTTTAGCACCTCATTTTAGTCTGACAGCCTGTCATATTTTACTGCCTTCATACTGCTTCCAAGAATGTGAAGAGCTGTTTGAATGTCATGTAGGTGAAGTTAGTTTGTTCTGCTTTAAAACAAATGCACAAGAATAATGCAGTATAAGTCCAGTTCAAAGTCAGGCAAAGGATACTCATTAGCAACTGTGGGCTTCATGCTGAACAGGTATCTTTTTGTTTGGGCAAACAGATGAGAAAAATGTCATAGAGTGAGGTTTTTTATCTACATTTTTTTTCAAGGCACACATTCTGTGCATTGCAGAGTAGCTCCTGGAGCTACCTAAACATAAGCACAGCTCTGCACACCTGAGGCTGAGGGATGAGACCAGGAAGGGCTGTGGGATGCTGCTGCCTCGGGAGAAGCCAGAGACAGTGGGGCAGGCTTCAGGTCATCAAGTTTGGGGTGCCTCTACTGGTGACACAGTGAAGGCAGTGGTTGCCCACTGTAGGAAAGCTCACCTCAGCTGCAGGTGCTGCCCCATGCCAGCCTGAGCCTGGCTGCTCCTCCTGCCCACACCCCCATGGCTGCCTTCTCTGCTTTCCTTTGCCTGCACTCAGACACACCCTAAGCAATACTGCCAAATATTTTTTTTACTGTTCTTTTAAGCATCATGATTATTTATCTGTTGCTATATTCCTGAAACATAAATCTTGTTAGATGTATCTGGCCCGTGAAGTTTATAGATGTTTATTTAGTTCTCACTGCAAACCTACGTGCAGCACCAGATATTTGCTGTCTTGGATTTTTAAATAGCTCACATTGCTGTAGTACCAAGCTACTTCCCTGTCTTTACCATGTGTATCTTAACACCATTCCTGCAAATCAGGATTCCTTTACTTTGGCCTTTCAAAACATTTTTTTTTCCTAAACAGTCACTGTGAGCATCAGCCCTACACAATTCAGTGCACAGGCAGCCCATGGAAGCCAAGAGGTATCAGTGGGACTCCTAACATGGAGCAGGCTTTTATTCCTTTCTTGTTAAGATGTTTGCAGTCTTTACAATTAAATGAAAGAGTGTGTTATGAAAGGACTGACGACCAGCCTTCCACAAACTTGGCTCAGAGAGACTTTGTTGCCTGTTGCTCACCTGGAGCAGCCCAATCGCATTAATTCAAATAGCACACAATTTTAACATGTGCCACTTGCTTTTTTCCTAGAGTGAAGATTCAGATGAAGAAGATCTCTGTGCTATCAGTAATAAATGGACTTTCCAAAGAACGAGCAAACGATGGTCGCGGGTGGACGACATTGACGCTCTGCTTCACCGATCTGACAGACATGGCTCTTCTGGGGACATTAAAATGAAAAACACGACAAGCAGTGAGAGCGTCCTCACAGATCTGAGCGAACCTGAGCTCTCATCAATTCACAGCGAGAGCAGTGGGGGCAGTGACAACAGGAGCCAATCTGGCACCACCAGCGCTGCCAGGGAGGCCTGCGACTGCTCTGCCCATCATGATGTGGAAAGCACGCTGCTGCAGGACTCTGCTGCAATAAACACCGCCCCGTCCCCCAAGGACGGCCTGAAGAATGAAAATCCAACACGAGCCAGAGCGAAAACCTTTCTAAAACGCATGGAGACGCTAAAAGCAAAAGCTGTGCATGGAAAACTAAAAGGCTCGGGAAGAACAGGTCCTTTAGAGATCAGCGGACCGGTTCTTCAGTTTGAGCCAAAATCCTTGAAAGACATGCACTGTGTACAGATAGTCAATGGTGATCTCCAGAATTTGGGGCAAGATTCAGTCAAAAGAGGGCTTCCCTTTCCTGCCAAATCCAGCAGTGACAGCAGTCAGTCCGAAAATAGCAGCAGTGGGGTGAGCACGCCGTGTTTGAAGGAACGCAAGTGCCATGAAGCAAACAAGAGAGGTGGGATGTACCTGGAGGACGTGGATGTTCTGGCAGGAACGGCCTTACGGCAAGTGGTGGACCAAAACCTCAAAAATGAATTTCATTCCCAAGAGAACTTGGTTGTGCACATTCCCAAGGATCACAAACCAGGGACCTTCCCAAAGGCACTTTCTATCGAAAGCCTCTCACCTACAGACAACAGTAACAGTGTAAACTGGAGGACAGGGAGCATCTCTTTGGGAAAGCAGAACTGCTCTACTCCAAAGGAATCCGGACTGATGGCCTGCTGTCCTAAAGAGAGCAGAATTAGTATTTATGACAATGTGCCAGGTTCCCACTTGTATGCTAGTACTGGGGACCTCCTGGATATAGAGAAAGATGTCCTTTTTCCTCAGTTGGATGACATTTTGCAACATGTCAATGGACTGCAGGAGGTGGTAGATGGCTGGTCAAAGAAGGTGTTGCCAGGTCTGCCGGTTGGTGATGTGTCAGTCAGGGAATCCCCATCACTGCCTTTCCAGTCCCCTACACAGATCACTCTTGATTTTGAAGGAAACTCTGTGTCTGATGGCCGGACCACCCCGAGCGACATGGACAGAGATGGAACATCCCTGAATGAATCTGAAGCCACTGGTGTTAGGGACAGGAGGGACTCTGGGGTTGGAGCATCGCTCACAAGGCCAAGCAGGTAAGTAGCAAAATTTTGTATACAAATCCACGGACTGTAAAATACAATATAATGAAGCAGAGGTTCTCAGCTTGGCAGTCAGAAGGCACAGAGTACCATTACAGTAGTGTTCATCCTGTATGGAGATGGGGGCTTCCCAGGGAAAGGTGGGATTTTGAGGGAAGGGACATCCTGCTGTGGAGATTCCTACATGGAATCAATGCAGAATTGGTTTAATAGAGCAAACTAAGGCTTTTTTTATCCCTTGATCCATTGATTACATAGCAGGACCCTGTATATGTTGTAGGATGTATTTTTAATTTGGCTTCTAAGTTATGCACACAGGTCTTTATGAATCTGTAGCTCTATGCACTTCTTTAACGTACTGATCTGCTTTAAAAATGTGCCCCTTTGTGCTCAAAGAGAACTTTCCTATGCTGCCCCAGCCCCTGACATGGGTGGGATGAAATGATGGTGAATGACTGACTTCTTAATAAAGTGAAAAGTGGAATTTTGTTGATAGTTTACAGACCTGTTTAAAGTCAGAGTGATGAGTTCCTGTCAAGCCAAGTACCAATGGTCCTGGGCAAATGCCTTTGTGGGTCTAAACTGTTGCATGTAGGGTGGCTTTGTAAGTGCAAAAGCAGAAAGAACATACCTAGTATTTTCTGATAATACTGGTATCTTCTGATCTGCTGTCAGTCTTGTCACACCCTCACAGAGGACTCTGCCACGCCATGGTTTGCTGCTGCCTGTGCTTGCTCACCACCACCACAAAAGTGAAAGTGGACTGGAAGAAACTACTGAGTAAATGAGCAGTGCCAAAGTTTTTAGGATTTGAGTCAGAACTTGTATTTAGTAAAATAAGAAAATAAAATTAAGGTTGTTTTTTTTTTTTTTTCTGATTAATCCAGTGTACAGAGAAAGTGCATTGGAGTAAAAAGATGTGAATGGTTCATAGCTTGGTGGTTATAGCTCTAGCTAAGGAGACACAGGATTTAATCCTTTTTTGAAAAAGTCCTTCAACATTTAATAACAGAGCTGTTTGGAGAATCTCATGTCCAAATACCTCAGTGGTCAGGTCAGTCCCCTGGGAGATGAGGGACTAGGCATCAAACACCAGTTCTGAGTCAGGCAAAGAACATTAGTGTCTCTAAATCTCCCACATCCTGTTGGAAGTGTGTGGGCTAAAGACCATAGCAGGCAGCACTGCTTCCCCAGGTATATGGACAGGACCCACACCCACTTGTGAATCTAATGTTAAAACAACAAAACTTGGGCATTTCTGAAATTAAAGAGATTGACTAAATTGTTGTATTTATCTCCAAGGTACATTTCCTTTCAGTTGGCACACCGCAAGCCATCACACATGTGTGTGTTTATGTATGTTTTATACATTGCCCAGCCCTGTCTCACTGTACACCATCTTTTCTGCCCAACCAAAGCAGTTCTCTGATTTTTCTACCATTTCTTTTGCTAAAGGCAATTACGATGGCAGAGTTTCCAAATCTCTCATCGCCTGAGCCGCTCCATTGCATCGCTTCACATCAGCAACCAGTCAGCAGCCCAGCTGAATCTACTGCAAAAATTCTCTCTGCTTCGTCTCACTGCCATCATGGAAAAGTACTCCATGTCAAACAAACATGGCTGGACCTGGTGAGTACCCCTGGTAACTGGAAGGAGGCTTTTTAGAAGAAAATAGTTTCTCCTAATTCTGTTACTCTGCTGTTAAGTAAATGCAATTAGAAGGAACCATTGACTTCAAGTGTGGGATTTGAAAATGTCCCTTTTTATCCATTGCTGCCTCGTGGCTCGTTGGCAAAGTGAGAAATAGATCCTGGAAATCTGGCTTCATTCCTGTGCTCTAACAAAGAGGCAACCCTGGCCTTTTGAACAATGCTACAGTTCCAGAAAAATAAACAGGAATAGGAGAGAGTGACTATAAAGTAGGAAAAGTTTACAGTAAGTCCTACCCAGTATTCATTTGGTGATGCAAAAAGAAACAGCTGCTGCTTCATGTGTTTGATATTGCTTTCTTTGTGCTTTAAAAGAAGGGTTAGAATAGTTATGGGACTTTTCTCTAGAAATGAAAGATGCAGGCTTTGGCCTAGGCCTGGACCTGTGTTAGAGGGAGCTTGCAGCCCTGGCAGCTGTTACAGCTACCTGGTCACTCAGGGAGTGGAGGGAAGCGCACTTGGATGTGAAAGCTCACTATGTGGCTCCTTCTCTAGCAACTGGCTACAGAAACCTGTGTGTTTCATGGTAAAAAGCCCTGGTGGGCCCCACAGATTGAGGTACACCAGAAATGGAAATGGGCATGAATAAGAGTTTAAAAGTATCTGAGAAATAATCAAAAGGACGACAGAATCTTTCCCTAATACACTGAGGCACCCAGTCCAGATACAGAATGACTTGATATTTATATTGTGATTTTCATGCTGAAACCACCTCCCCAAAATCCCACTAAATTCATCTGTGAGCTACATTAAGACAAGTTTTCCCTTAGAAATTAAAAAATAGATACAATTGATAAATGTGAGATTCACCTCACTGACATCAGTCATTAGCAAAAGTTAAAATATGTTATAAACCTAACCTGAGAAAGTTAGGTTGGCTGGTTCTGGTCAGAGGAAAGAGACAGGCAACCCCAAAGCAGCCCATTATAACCAAGGCTGAGGGTTTGGGTCACCTTCCAGAGGTGTCTCTCTCTAGAGTGGGTATAGAGGTAGCCCAGACAGCTGACTCTTTCTAAATCTCTGTAAGATAAATAAAATTCAGTAAAATTAATCCCCATTTCACTGCTCTCCTTCGGTGCACTCCCTGTGGCTAGCTGGCATCTGCACTGAAATGAATCTCACCTTACCCAACATGAAATAAGCAGACTAAAATACAGCAAATTCTAGGTCCTACTGTTTGTACAAGATTTTCATCCTGAGAGATATTTCTTCAGTTTTTATAATCAGTCTCTAAGGATTTTTAGGAGAGGCACTGTAAATAGCTGCAGAGTTACGCACTGTACTTCTTCAGTAGATAATTTGAAATTACTTTTTACTTCTTCCCACACAGATGACAAAACTCTTAGTCACATTCAGGTCATATTCATCTTTTTTATTTTAATTCAATGGCAGTCATGACTCCCAAAAAGGGAATCTAGTTCGTTCTTGTTTTCAACACAATTTTTTGAAGAAAGCAAGCTCACCAGCTTTCACTTAACTTGCTCAACCAGAATAAGTCATATAACACAAGGGAGGAATCTGACACATAGGGATTTCCCACCATAATTTCTTATTGTAAAGTTTTAGTCAATAGAAATACTAAATCATGTAACTGGTACAAGATCAAGGATCATTCAGCTCCTTTTCCCTCAGATACCCTCTCCACTCAGGTTTGCTCTGCTATTCCTGTGAGTCCCTAAAAGATGCTTTAAAACTTATTGGCTTCACCTGCATAGTAAGAGGTTCTTGTTAGAGCTGATTGTTATGCTATACCTTAGAGGCCATCCACTACAGATATTAAGAAATTAATCAATTATGCAAATTGTAAAGTGTCTGTGTATTGTGCATCAAACATTATTCCACCATCTTTATTAAAAAGGCCCCAGTTACCAATTTCTGTCAGTAGTGTTACTCAGAAGGTGTGTAAATACCCCGATTTTTTTCATGCAGCCTGTTCATGTTAATTTTCAGGTCTGTGCCAAAGTTCATGAAGAGGATGAAAGTCCCTGACTACAAGGACAAGAATGTCTTTGGTGTGCCCCTGATAGTTCATGTCCAGAGAACGGGGCAGCCTCTTCCCCAGAGCATACAACAAGCCCTGCGCTACCTACGGAGCAATTGTCTAGACCAGGTAGGAGCTTTACTCCATGGACTTGTTGGTTTTTTCTGAAAAGCCACTTTAAGCAAGCAACAGTCAGAATTTTTGTGCCAAGTGTCAGGATTATTTGAAGATTATGAAGATTATTATCTCTCCTCGAGTGATTTGATAGTTGGTGCCAAAATTAAAGTTTTCCATTTTGAGATTTGTATCCAGCTAATCTGTTTAAATTTTGTAGCTGTAACAGTCCTGCTGATTTGTATACCACAATCTACTTCAAAGAACATTTTGAGATCTTCATGTATATTGAATGAAACCTGGGAAGGGATCAGGACTCCTCACTTCTACACATATTTGTACTGCTTATGCTTGACTGTTGCCATTGAGGGTTAACTGCATCCACCATTTCACAAGATATGGTACAAAAGGTTTTATTTACTTAGCAAAGACAGAAAAGTCCAAGAATAGAGAGCAAACTCAGCAAAATATTCCAAGTATTCTGTTGACAGAGTCAGATATATCCAGATAGTTAGGTCAGCAGGGGTTCAATGCCAAAGCCATTATGGTGCGTTGCCTTTTATAGTGTTCTTAGCTACAACAAGCCAGCTGGGACACCCTCATGCTCAAAGTATTTAATTTTTTTTTTTATTCCCTTTAGCTACAGAGAGACATACTAATCATATTTTTATTGTTCTTCCCCTAAGGATGAGGATGTATATTTTATGAACATCGGACTGGGAGAAATCCCCTGGCTGTTTATGTTCAGTCCTCTACTGTTACTGACCTCATGTGATATGACCTCTTTCATAACTGCCTTTAGATAGTTTCAAGTTTGAACAGAGCAACCAACAATTTGCTCTGCAGACTTTGCTGCTTTCCTAGCTCTCAGCACATGAAAAGGGTGGAATTAGCCTGGTTTGAATCTTCACATTTTCTAATCACCATTCTGTTTGCTGTTCAGGTTTTTTGTTGGGTGGCAGTCATCTTCCCCAAAACTGAAATCTGAAAGTTAAAGGTGTTCCAGTGAATCACAACCATTTCCCTTTGCAGCCGGTGGGAAAGACACAAGTCCTTCCTATCAGTTCTCTGTGTAAAGGGATCCTGTAGTGGTCAGACCTTGACATCTAACTCCACAGTGTTAAAGTGAGCAGAGATGAGTTCTGCTAGCCGTATGTAGTGCGGGAGCTGAGGGGTGGGATGAACAGCTTGTCAGAAATTTATTAAAAGAGGATGAAAGGGAAAGATGCATGGAGACAAGAAGAAGTGATATATTCAGGAGTTAACATGTCTGGTTGCCACAGTGCTCATCTGGGTTTGTGTACTGAGCTGGGAAAGCCAGTGTAGGAAGAAAAGTGATGCAGCAAGCCTGGAATTAGTGATGAGATTGGAGGAGGAGACGCCCAAATAAAAGGAACAGGAGATGTAAGGATAGGGATGGGCTTGTCAGCTAAGAAGCAGAGCAACAGGAAGAAAGAGAAGAGAGAGGATTAATGGGGGAGAATGTAAAAGGGAGTATAAAGGAAAAAGAAAAAGCTCTTGAGAGATTTGAGGCAATTAAAAGGTGTTGGAAGCCTCAGACAACTATCAGCTCCATTTGTGTTTATGCACTGGGAAGCATCAGAGCTTTGTGAACTTCAGTTCAACTGCGTTTCTTCTTAGAGTAAAATTGGGAAAATACTGATAAAAAAAAGAAGGAGAACTACAAATTGGTATCCTTTAAAATATCTTTTCACCAAAAACCTTTCTAGGCAAAAACATTCCATGCATTTCAGTTCCTCTGCTTTACAGTTACTCCCTTTGTTCCCATTTAATTCAAAATCTGCCTGGACAGAGATCTGGGCAGGCTCCAGCCTCCCCAGCATCCTGCTTTATGTGTCTCTCTTGTGCACTGCAGAAGGTGAGCTAAAGTTCAGAACAGGTGTCAGAGCTTCTACTCCATACACTTGGTAAAGTTGTGGTTGCTCTAAACCATTGCAAAGTCTGGCTCCTGCCACTGAAATCCCTAAGCTGGCATGAGGAGCCCCACAGTTACTTGTAGGATATGTAATTCAGTTTCACTTTGTGAAAGAGAAACTGCTTTGCCTTTTCCAGCTGCATCTTTATTTCTATCATGCATCATATGGCTGCTTGTAGGGAAGATGATCCACACAGCATGAGGATAGTAAAGAGATTGGGGCAGACTAACCTCTGGATTTTTGGTGTCTTTTTATTTACAGAACAAGTCTGTAATAATGCATAACAAAGCCTAAAACATATTTTTCTATTGAGTGAAGAACTCTATGATTTATTAATAATTTTTTTCCATTAATTGAAAAAAAAGGAAAGAGGAGTCTGGATAAATATCTTTAAACAGAGATCAAGAGTAGTAGAATGATGTGCAGCTGGAGATTGCATGTGTGAGATTTGACATCTGACCTCTCAAATCAGACTTAGCTAGAAGTTTTTAATGGTTGTTTATCCCAGCAAGAACACTTTCCATCAAAAGGAGAGAACTGAGCCTCTGGTCTGACATTTATCCACCACAGGCCAAAATTTTATTTTTTGGACAGAATTAGCAAGTCTGTCTTCTTCATCTTCAGCACACATTTCTAAGAGGAAAAGGCATTTAAAAATAAGAAGAGAAAGAGAAAGGGAAAGGGAAAACCAGATGAAAAGAGCTGGATGCTCTTTCTTGTATGCTCTTGCCAGGAAGAAGAGCAGAGCTTCACTTGGATCGTAAATACAGACCACAGGGCACACTCCAGTCCTCTACTTCCTGTACATAAATTTAGCTCTCAAGTGACACTAAATTCATCAGTAAGAAGACATAGAAGAGCTGCCTCACAGCCAGTCTGGTGCAGCGGTTCATCTCTATATAAGTTAGTAAATAAATATAGCCCCTCACAGAACTGAGATCCATGTCATTAGTGCCATGAATGTGCGAGTTAACCAAAGTCCTAAATACCCTCCAGGTGAGCATGGGCGGTGTTCTAGAGAGAGGAGGGTCCTCTGTGAACTCTGTGCTGCTTCTTACTTGGAAGTAAGGGGGAGAAGGCAAGAAGGCATTATTCCCTTGCCTTTACTGTTTGTTGGTGGACTGTGCCATGCAGGAAGCTGCATGGATCACCAGCGAGACAGCAACCACACAGGAAAAAGGGTCTATAATTCCTAACTGGAAACGTGCCTTTCCCATAGGTCTGTCTCAGTGTTTCACCTTTTTCCCTGCAAAACTGAAGGGAAAACAGTGTTAACACTTCCCAAATGAAACACTGTAAACTCACTTGGGAATAAATAATGTGGTTGAGGCCCAGGAATTCACCCCAGGGGGAATTCCGCGGGTGGAGAAGGACAAGAAAGGGCAGCCCTGCCTTGAAGGCATCATTGGAAGAATTACCACTTCCTTTCAAAATAGAAAGCAAACAGGATAAAAATGTATCTTAGTGACACTGCACAAGTAATCCCTCTGTGGCCCCCACTCTCGAACTGGACTTTTCAATGGGATTTGGGAGAACTCTTGGAAGCAGAGAGCTGGAAAGGGAAAAAATACATTTAATCTTGATTTTAAAGCTCTACCAGGAAGTACAAATCTTTTGCCACAACATTTATTACTTAGCTAAGGATAATATTTTCTTTTTAGTCTTCAAAATATATACCCAAATAAACATGAGGGGCCAGATTCTCAGCTGGAGTAAATCAACAGACAGTCACCCAAGCCAAGCAAGCCAGGCTGATTTATATCAGCAGAGCATCTTGCTTAAACTTCTCAGGCAGCAGAGAAACCACAAGGCACTCTGAACCAACTCTCTAGGATGGGACAGAGAGCAGCAGCATTATTAACTCCTGCAATCCTTCTGTGGGAGCCTGTGCATGCCTGTGAGACTTGTAGGACCATCAATTGCATTTGCACATTTTCCTCCTTCTTGCCTAGAGTGAAATAAGCAACCCAAGCTTTGGTCATGATCCAAGTCCCCAGATATAAATGTATATACCTGATATATATTCTTCAAGTGCCACTTTCCCCTTTACCCAACTCAACACGGTACATTTTTAGGTGGGTCTGTTTCGGAAATCTGGAGTGAAATCCCGAATCCAGGCCCTGCGTCAGATGAACGAGAGCTCCCCAGAAAACGTCAGCTATGAAGACCAGTCAGCATACGATGTGGCTGACATGGTCAAGCAATTCTTCAGGGACTTGCCAGAACCTCTCCTCACAAGTAAACTAGGAGAGACTTTTCTGCACATCTACCAATGTAAGTTGATGTCTCTACATATTTCTTTTATTATAAACAATTAGAAATTGTTATAAGTTATATAACAATGTCCTGTAAATGATTTTGGTGTGTTAACAGTTGATAGGTTTCTTTCTGCTGGCCTTTGAGATATAAAAACCCCCTGCCCTCAAAATCTTTCACTAACAGGTCTTTAGAACCACCTAAACATTTCAGTGTCAAATTCAATGGAAAGACAATGTTCATACCAGCCTCACAATCAGAAAGAAGAAGAAGAACAGGCTGCCGGACATAAAAGAGCTTAAAGACTTATATTTTTGTCAGATTTATTTAAACTGTGTGCCCATTTCATGCACTTATATCTCAATATAAGTGAGTCTTCTGAGCATGGAGAAGTGGTACTTGACCATGAGAATATGTGTCTCTGCAGTTCCCTTCCTTGCTGTGATTTTTGACTATTTGTTTTTTCATTATAGTCAATAAAATGTACATGCAAAAACAAGCTGTCTTCATGTAGATCATAAGCTCTATGTAAAGAACTCATAGAGAAAGAAAGAAACTAGGGGATTTCTTCTTTTCTTTCCAGCATAAGCAATCTTCAGAAAAATCTGAGATGCATCAGAATAATGAAAGTCCCTGTGAATCAGGAAATGACTGTGTATCTCTTCTCCAGACTGAGGGAGAAATAAACAGTGAGGAAAACACTGAACAGCCAGAGGAATTAGAGTTTTTTTCCTGACAATGTCCATTATGAGGGCCAGTCAGCCAGCACTCTGGCAGATGCAGCCAGCCTAAGCCAAATAATTGGAAGCACTAAAGAGAAGTGTGTCTAGTCTTTTCACTTGCAGACGTTTCAGCTGCCAAAACAATAGAAAGCCATTTTAAAACACTGTGTAATCCCAGTGCTTAAGAATCTCAGATACTTCCGTTGCTTCCCTTTACTGTAAAAATCTGTCTGTGGCATGCAGTCACTAATGAATTTACCACCACAGTGTCTGTAGCTGGTAGAGAACGCTGGGACTCTGCATGTGAGAGACAGCACTGCAAATAAATTCAGTGAGTTTGGCTGTTCCCAATGTCTTGGGACACAAGTTAACTGCAAGAGTTGGTGCCTAGCCCTGGACCATCATTTCCCCTTCTTTTTTCCCGCTCACAAGTTGTCTGTCTGCACACACACTAATAAGCTTGTTCAGAAAAGCAACAGGAACTCTGACTGCCAATAAAATGGCAGTCACAACCATTTCCATGGGGAGATTGCCAAGGAGAAGATTATCCACTGCAAGGACATGTTCTGCATGTCCTTGGAAACAAATCACCTCTAAACTATTGATGAAAATTGGGGATGTCTCTTTGCAGTGAAGAGACTGCAAGTAAATTACCCCCTTGCTACAGGAAGAGAGAGATGGCAGATCCCAGTGGCATCAGCATAAGCAGGTCTGGAGCCAGAAGGGCTCCCCTTTTCCAAGACATGGGGCTGGATGGGGAAACACTGATACCAGCCAACAAAAAATGTAAAAAGAGGCATGTGCTGACTCTGTAATGTCTGTGTGGTGCTGCAGCAGGAAATCTGAGGAACTTCTCTTTCCATTGGTCAGAAGGGGAAAAGATGAGCTAAGATTGCTAAAATGCACCAGGACTTAAAGGATTTCAGAAAGACTTGAGGATAAGTCTCTTTAAACCAAGGTAGGAACAAGAAAATATGGGCTCTGTAGACATCAGAAAATATTGTTTGGATGAAGAATGAGTAGCAAGGGGTTTTTTTCCATGTGACCAACAACAAATATATTTTTCTGTTTCAGACAGTACTGACAAAACTCCCTTCACAGAAAGAAAAATGTTGAATATTTCCGGGATACCAATTGTATTTCATAACATCTGCAATTAAACTAATCTGTAGCTGAGACCTTTTCTTGCTCTTTGTTCTGTTTAACAAATTGTTAATGTGAAGTTAGGAAGGATTTTTCCTCTCCTAGTGTATTGGCAAGAGATTTCTGATTTTCTGGGACTCGCTGAAGATATTTTTCCTATATCCAAGATCTTTTTCATATATCCAGAATGGCTTGAATAGCTGTAACACATAGGATTTGGGATGAGATTATTAGTGTAGTAGTCTATATGGCATACCATTGATGAAACTTCCTCCATTTTCCTAAAACTCCCAGTTATTTAATGTTTACCTGTGACTTGAAGCACTGGCTGGTCTTCTGCTTCATGTACCAGACCCATCAGAGCAACAATAAAGGGGAGGGAGGGATTACCAGGAGATGTTGTGGGAAGAAAAGACACATTGCATGGATATAGCAAAGGCTCCCCTGACTTCTCAGAAAAACCCGGCCTTGCTGCTTTCAGAAACTTTAGAAGTATTGAGCTGTGTTCATTTTGTCTTTCATGTCTGAAAGCTTTTAAAATAAAGTGCTTGTACAAGGCTAGCAGTCAAATCTTAAAAGCTGGCTGTTCCCTCTACTGTAAATCTGCTTTTGTTCTTCTTCCACTCGATTATAGAGAGTATGTAATACCCAGAGGAGGACTCGAAGTCCAAACTGAGAGAACTTATGGTAGTTTCAGAAATGAATCTGTCTGCGGTGCTATTTAAGCATTTCCACTACTTCTTTCACCAAACTCTTCTCTGGTTTAGGACACAAATCTAAGTGTTCCTGAAGCTTCCCTAAAACTTAAAGTTCTGTCTTGCCACGAGACAAAGAAAACCTCAAAAATATCATTTAAAGCTATAAGTACTGAGTGCTATTCTCCCTTCACAAACTTCAAATGAAGTCCAGTGTCTTTCTTGGGAGCAGCCCCTCAAACAAACAGAGAAATGCCAAACACTGGCAAGGGAAGCTGTGCTTTGTGGAGGAACAGAAGGAGGAGCAGATCAGGAGCAGCTGATCTTTTCCCCTTGCTCTCCTGTCATCTGCCCCATCACAAAGCCATTGCTAAGGTCGGGAAAGACTTCTGTGAGTCAAGCACTAACCTAACACTGCCAGGTCCACCGCTGAAACACGTCCCTAAGCACCACATCTGTGTGGGTTTTGAGCACTTGAGGGGACTGTGAATGTCTGTGGTAACTTTATCTTTTCGGCTCCTTACCTGATCTTACAACTGACCCCCTGGACGTCCCTTGCTCCTTCCCAGATGTCCCCAAGGAGCAGCGGCTGCAGGCGGTGCAGGCGGCCATCATGCTCATGGCCGACGAGAACAGGGAGGTTCTGCAGACCCTGCTCTGCTTCCTCAGCGACGTCACCTCTGTGGAGGAAAATCAGATGACTCCCATGAACATCGCTGTCTGTCTGGCCCCTTCCCTCTTCCATCTCAATATAGTGAAGAAAGAAAGTTCACCAAGGTATGTTTCTTCTCAGCATTATAAATAGTCACGTCCTGAATATAGAGTGATGTATTCAGTGGTATGCAGGAAAAATTTTCCAAGCCATCTGCTTTCCAGCACACATTAAACAGGGCATGGCTCAGTAAGAGGGGAAAACCCCTGCTGCAGAGCCAGAAGCACACTTGTTTTCACAAGCCCAGCAGGCATTTCGGGTTGTCTGTTGTGAACATGCAGTGCCTGCTTTCCATGTGGAATTTTCAATGGGGCACTAGTGAGTTTTGCATGAGTAATGTTGACTTCTGTAAAGGAAAAGGGGCTGATTTTTCTCTGGTTGAAGTCAAAGATTAACCATGTTTTAAAGAATTTTGATTTGTAGATTTTCAATGAGTGGGTTTTTTTCACTTTCAATTTACTGTCTACATTCTGCCATTCAGGAAACAGGGTTTATTTCAGGCCACATTAAAATTGTAACATGGTGAGTGTAGACTAAACAGGGCATAGCCTGGCTAAACATTAGTGGTCCCTCTTGACTTTTTTCCCTTCCATCTGGTTCAAAATACACTGAGATTCTTGGTCAATTACATGTATAACCCATGTCTGAACAAGGGCTTTAAGAAGTAACAATGTAAACCGCTTTACATCATGTCTGTTAAAAATCCATTTCAAAATGTACAACACATCATGCAGGATATGCATAACCTTTCCTGCTTTTACCTTTGGCTGAACAATATTTGAGGTAAACATTTTTCCTTTAAAAAAGGCCCAACAGTTTGAGCAGCCTTGTTGATAAACAGAAACTAAAGATAGGGGTTTTTTCTCTCTGATGTTGGGAGTATCCTGCTGGTTTTTGCTTTCATATTAAAAAGATTCAGCTCTTTACCTGAGATACTGAATTCAATTACAGAGTAATACAGAAAAAATATGCAACAGGGAAGCCAGATCAGAAGGACCTCAGTGAAAACCTGGCAGCTACTCAGGGACTTGCTCACATGATAATGGAATGCAACAAACTTTTTGAGGTGAGTGAGAGACTCAAACAGCATTATTCATGGCCACATAATTCAACAGCCTTTGAAGTATTTATGTTTACGCTTATATTTTCTGTCTTGTGTTAGCTCAGAGATTGGTGCCTCACTTATATGTAAACTTGCTTCATACAAACTTTATTTATCTCATTTCTTTACGGCAGTTCCCTTTTAGTATTCAAAAGATGCAGGGTAATTATTCTGTGACAGTTTTCAACCCAAACCACTGGATTCAGAAATTTTAGACTAATTCAAATCAAAATCTGCTAGTGTAAAATTTTATTACAATGCTTTTAAGGCCTCAAATAAAACTTGCTCATGTTAAAAATAATTGCCTATACACTTTATTTCTGTGTGTCATGCAATAAAGTAAAAATCACATAGAGACCTGCAGTCATTCCTGCAGCTACTTACACTGCAGCTGGAGGAGAGCAAATGCTCGTATCTTCTTTCCCAGAAGCACAAGGCAATATTTCTGAGGGCTAAAGGAGTCAGAGTGGTGTATTGACATCCAGCTGATCAGTCTAACGTGGTTCTGCATGAGTAGTGCTGTTCTGAGCCATGGGCTGTTTTATTAGACTACTTTGATGTCTCATCTTGCATAAAGACAGAAATTGGTGTGCATTTTGCAGATTCTAGGTTCATAAAATTGGATGCTGAATGGTCCATCAGCCTAAAAACACATTGTTTTAAGGAAAAGTTCTCAGCAGGAGATTTTCCCTGTGTGTTTTCCCTCCGTTCTGTGGCACAGGTCCCACACGAGATGATCACCCAATCCCGAAACTCCTATGTTGATGCAGAAGTGCATTCTCCTACCCTGGACGAGCTTGGGAAACAAGTGGATGAGGAAGGAGGGAACTATCAGATGTACCTGGAAACTCTCATGCAGAATCTCCAGAAAGAAGCAAAAGAGAAATTCAAAGGATGGGTCACATGTTCCAGTGTAGAGAACACAGAACTCGCCTACAAAAAGGTAATTTGGGGAGACATGAAAGAAGCAGTAAAGAAACCAAAGCAAAATGCAGCTCAGCTATGGGGCACTCATATGGCATGTTGCATGGCAAAACTCACACCCTTCTTTCTGGCAAGGCACTCTTTCATTATTATTATTTTTTAAAATATTACTAAAATCAGTTTAAATGTAATGCAATAGTGATTCAAGTACGAGATTCCAGAAAAAGGCATAGAAAGCAAGCTGGGTTCTCCAAAATAGATCAAGTAAGTGAACAACACAACCAGAGAGTGAGCTGAGATGTTAAACAACAGAGAGCATTACCTGGGCAAGCTCTTTGACTGGGGGACAAAGTCAAATGAAAAGTTTTTGACCAGTTCTTGAAGTTTGCTAGCAGTTTGGAGAACACAGCTAGAACATAGGTAACTACAAAACTTCTTCAGGCTCTCCTATGCTTTTTTAAGCAGGCAAATTTTATCCCTGATCCTTTTGTCCTTTTTTTCATGTGGATTTTTGATACTGCAGCTTTTATTAAAATTTCTGAATTTGTTTTAGGCTCCATCACTTATTCAGAGAAAGCCAGACCACTGCAGTGAGGCAGAGGGTGCTGCAGGGTCCCTGCAGAGAATGGAGTTCAGGGCTGCTAGAAATGCAGTATTAAAGCAGTGGTCTCCAAACCAGCAGCAGTTAGCAAGAGGGGATGGATTAGGGGTGGGTGACACTAGCTAGGCAGGAGAAGAGCACTCAGAGGAATGTGAGATCCTGGATGGTGAGGGGGCAGGAGGCAGCATTACCCCAGCTTGGGAAAGTGCAACCCCTCTGTCAGGGCAAAGAAATTGCAGTTACTGTGGTTTGTAGCCAGCTTCTGTGAGTGACCTCTCCGGGGAGGGACTGTGGGAGGTCAGGGAGAGAGTAACAGGGCTCAGGTGGGAGCAGGATGTGGGAGATGGGAGAGAGGCAATAGAGGCCTTTATGGCTGGAGGTCAAGGACCTGTGAGACTACAGAGGGGATTGGGAGTTTGGGGCTCCAGGGCAGGGGAAATGGGGAACTGAAAGCTTTGGGGAGAAAGAATTACTACATGAAATAATTTAAGGTGGGAGGTGAGGAAGGTGGGTTTCTGGGGAAACAGTCCTGGCTCTATGGGAGGTACTAGAGGTTTCCAAAGTACTCACATTGGTATATGACAATGGTAGGGTAGGGAAGGTTTAGAAAAGCAGGGCTTGCAAGATCCAGTGATTACAGTTAGCTTGTTTACTGCCTGAAATAGGAGCCCTAAAACCATGCAGAAAAGCTGCATGTGTGCAGTCTAGGATATTCACCTTGTGCATAGCCCAGCAATTTCTGCTCCCCTTAATGTAAGCTGTGGAGGTGTTCCAAGAAACAGGATCTGTAAGCAAGAAGGAGTTAGCAAATAGTCTGTGCTCTTTGAAAGGTGTTTTCCCAACACCTCCCTTGCAGCTGTTTTGAGGAGCAAACATCTGTGTACCTGACACATAACTGAGTCAATGTATATTCTGCTCCCACAAAATTAACCAGGAGGGTTAATGCACCCTCAGTCCCAGGTAGTGTATAAGATTGCCTAAGGCAGTTGCTTTATTTCACCCCAGGGTTTCAGTCTCTCATCTCTTTTTACTTCTGCAGAAAAATATTCATCATTACACTTAGGTTGTTTGGACTTGGAAAAGTGTCTGTGACACCAGAAGTAATGCAGAACCTCACTGGCACTATGGGAACTAGTCCAGATATATTCTGTTGTGAGAGCAGAGTAATGAATCACTTCAGGTTTCCATCCAGGACTAGTAGAGCAGCAGCAATAGCAATAATAGTAATGATTAGCAGGGAAATATGAATGTTCTTAAGCTGAAGTCAGACACACACATTGAGATTTTGTCTTCAATTATCATCTGCTGAACATAGGCATGTAAATTATCGGGGTTTGTGTTCTTCTTGCTTCACTCCAGGTTGGGGATGGGAACCCACTAAGGCTTTGGAAAGCCTCAGTTGAAGTTGAAGCCCCCCCATCAGTTGTCCTGAACCGAGTGCTGAGAGAACGTCACCTCTGGGACGAGGACTTCTTGCAGTGGAAGGTGGTGGAAAGCCTGGACAAGCAGACAGAAGTTTACCAGTATGTTTTGAACACCATGGCTCCTCACCCTGTCCGAGACTTTGTTGTTCTCAGGTAAGCCGAGGGCGGCTCTCTGCTACCTTTGCCTCCTGCAGTGCATAAAGAAGATCTGGATTTATCTCAGCCTTCACATCTGTGTAATTGCTCTCCAGGAACTCTACTTCTGGGCAGCAGTGCTGATTTCTCAAACTGAATTAGTCATACACCTACAGCATGCTGACCTTTTCTCTGATGTAATTTGAGCAGCACATGCTCCTGAGGCCATAAATATAATTTCTTCCTCAGAACAGATGTCTGATAATAGCTGCTCTTCTCTCTTAGCTTTGTTTGTTGTCAAAACAGTGCAAATAGAACCCAATTGTTTTTATGCTGCTTTTGCTGTTCTCTGGGGAATGTTTGATGTTTAAGAGACAAATGTTTAGAAGAGAAGATAGTGGTGCTTTTAAGCTAAGGCTGTTATCCAGTGCCTATATAAGTTATTATCTTAAATTTTCAGTTGGAGTCTTTTTAAATGAAGAAATGCTGATCCATAAAAATCTTAGTGTGGAAATGAACAAAAAGAGGCAGTAGATTTGTATTCTCTCTTCCAGGGGATGACTTCTCTTAAATAAATGTACAGCTGTGTATCAATATTCCACATTCAATTCCAGTTCTGCCATTGTCTATCTGCCTGTACAAAATAGTCAAAAAAACCCTCTTCTGTCTTTGAAATCTGGGCCTTTGCTTGCTAGGAGCTATTGTGGAGCTGCTGACATATTTCACTTACAGGGTCAGTCCTACAGTTATTTATTTTAGGATGATTTTGTGCATTCCTACTTTTGGTCCCTGCTTTCTTTGATTGAAATGATGTGCCAGAGAAATACAAAGCAGTTTTGACAAAGGAAGTAGTACAGGGAGTCAGAATTGTATTAAAGGGAATGGAGATTGAAGGAAAAAGATGAGCCAAATAAAATATAATTACAAAAGTACATCCCTTTTATGAACTTCAGTAGTCTCTTAAAGGATGACAACATGCAGATATTGTTGGTATAAGGGAAGAATTATTGGAACTCTTAGGGGAAGATTTTAAAAATGCTTTCTGTAACCAATTCTCCCATTACTCTATATCTTTTGCCTTACCACAGTATACTGGGTTAAATTAACTATTTTATAATCAAATATCTATTATATATTTTATATAATTATATATATATCATTATTTTATAAATAATCTTCTTATATAATGTCATTAGCCTGAACCAGTGATAAATTTGGCCCTCTGCATGGCACCAAGAAGATGGTCTGCGAGCGGCGGGGAGGTCTTGATGACCGTAATTTGGTCCTCTCATTTGCCACTTAGTTCACTATTAGGTTTCGGTGGTGGTTTATGTTCTTTAAAGACCTGCTGTGCAGTCACATCAGTTAAAGGAAAATCCTGCTATCGAGTTCTCATTCTTTTCACTGACCCAGGCAGAATGACCCTCGAGGACTGAAATACATATCATAAAAATGAATCCTGGTGGGTTCTTAAGGGCTGAAAACAGCCATCAGGCAGATCTGTCAGATTCTGTTGTTTATCTCTTTTGATTGATTTCATTAAGTCTAGAGCAAGGTTACCCAGCAATACCGCAGTCAATTTGATACCTTATGATTGGTGGGAAGTGAACAGTGAAATTATAATACACCTCTGGGGACATGAATAAATATATTTTAACAGATGGCAATTTTCTCTTTCTCAGTCAAACTTTGGGCTGTGAAAGGATCAACTTAGTTGTTCCCTTTTTTTTCAATGTGACAGTCACAACAAGGGGATTAGGCTCCCTAGAGAAGACTCTGATGGTAAAAGGAGAGGAGAAATGTTTCATATGCCTGGGATATGAAACGGTTCTCAGCTGCCCTGCACAGGCATCACTTTTATTACAGAATCCACAAGTGTTTCATTTTCATTAAGTATGACAGCATGTTGGTGAGTTAGGTGCCATGCCTGATTTTACTACTGTAAGGTATTTAAAGAACTACTGAAACTGGCCTAAATCCACATGACTGGGAACAGGAAACCAAAATCTTCTGAAATCTCTGGGATAGAGAACTTTCCACTTCTCAAATGGCCCAGGGAGGGCTGGGTAGTTACCAAAATGATGTGGGCACATCTAAACACTGTGCAGGCACTTGCAGGAGGTGGTTCAGCATTTTTCGTACTGGATCTCAGCTGTGATTTCCTTCTCCCATATTTCATCTGCCAAGATAGCTCTTCAATTTTATTAATGCCCAGGCACATGTAAAACCTTCTGGTCAGTATCTTCCTGCAGTGTCTTGAATAACAGCTCCCTTTCATGTAAGAAAAATGCAGAATGTTAAAATTATCTGCTGAAGTCCAAATTTCAACAGTCCTTGAAAGCAGCTTACCTGCTAAAATATGACACTTCCCAAGGCAGCATAACCCCTGTCTCAGACAATCCACAGCAAGATGATGCATGTTGCACAGCACAGTGGGAATTTCTCATTTCTTCCCACAGCATAGGAAAGAGCACAGACCTATCCTCTGAGATTCAGTGCAGATAAGAAAGATGTGAGACACAAGGATATGTAGAGAATGCTTAGAGAACAACAAAAAAATGTAAAGTATTAAAGTCTACAAATCTGGAACTTGGTAGAAAACTTCTCCAACAAGTAAGAGAGGCTAGAAACCTGGGAGAGGAAAGAAATGGGAGGACATTTTGTTTTTAATTCAGACACCCTTGAAACATATCCTGGGTAGTCTCATATCCTCATATTGGTGAGGATTTCTGCTGAACTAATCTGCATTTCTTGTTCTGTAAAACTGCATGGGTGCAATGCACAGTTTCAGCTTTTGCTGGATGGCTTATCCTTGGTCTTTCTCCTTTCCAAAACTTTTTGTCTGACTGCAAAAGGCTCTATCATGCCCTAGAATACTAATGGTTACAAAATACTCCCGTGGAGAAGCAAAATTTCTCCACCTGGAACCACACAGATGGGTGGCCATCCCACATGGCCATGAAACTCTGCCAGGGACTCCAAGGACAGTCCACTGGCATTGCAGGCAACAAGGATAGGCAGACACAGAGACTGTAACTTCAATCCTGGTTCTTACTCATGTGCTCAAAAACTCCATCACTAATGTGATTCCATCTTGGACCTATTCCTGCAGGACATGGAGGACGGATTTGCCCAAGGGGATGTGCATGCTGGTTGCCATCTCTGTGGAGCATGAAGAGGCTCCTCTCATGGGAGCTGTGCGAGCCATCGTGATGGACTCCCAGTACTTGATAGAGCCCTGTGGCTCAGGAAAAGCCAGGCTGACCCACATCTGCAGGATTGACCTAAAGTAAGTACCCCATCTGCACAAAGTAATGTCCATTCAGCAGAACAAAACCCTCAAGCTCAGATGCTGGGAACATGGTTAGGGTAGCTAACAGGTAGGTAGGAACAGAGGGCATAGTTAAGGTAGCTTTGCTGTCTCAGAGTTTGCCTGCAGTCTTCTCTCCACTCAGTGCCTACCACTGATAGAATGTGATTTTAGAAACAGAATCTGCTTATTTGATTTCTGCAAGGGAGAACTTCAGAGTACATTGAAAAAGACAAGTATTTGCATCTCCACCACCACTGTGGCAGTGCAGAGCTAGAAGCATGGCAAGCATGTTTCTGTGGGGCATGTTTCTTGAGTATTTGAATTTCTCAATAACTCTCTTTTCATTTCTTCAGAGGACATTCCCCAGAGTGGTACAACAAAGGCTTTGGACATCTGTGTGCAGCAGAAGTTGCCAGGATCAGAAACTCATTTCAACCTCTGATTGCTGAGGGACCAGAAACAAAAATCTGATGAAGGGTTCCTGGGAGCATGTGAGCATAAATCAGGGTCTCGCAGGGAACAGGAATACTGAAAGCAAAGGTCTGATTTAAGCTGCAGAAATCTGACCAGACGTGGGTCTGTACAAAGCTGGAAAAGGAATTTTATAAGAAAGTTCTTTTATTCTGGAGACTTCACCTTTCCCCCTCCCCCACATCCACTCTTAATATTAATTTTGATTATTGAACTAAACATTTCTTCAGAGAGCTTTTATTACTTTAAAAACAGATTATTGCCATTACTTGTATGTTACATAACTCTGGTATTTAAAGGCTTCTAAGAAGCATATTTTAATTGTAAATAAATAATGTACAGTATGTATATATTTATCTATATTCTATCTATATATATGTATATGTATAAATTAATTATTTTGTATATAACTCAGTGCAAATCACTTGCATCAGTTGGACCTTAAGTGGACCTGTCACTTGTTTCTTAGTGTGTCACTGCTACATAAGCTGTGTTTGCTGTTATCACAGAGCTACCAGGCCTAATTTGTGTGATAACAAATGCCTGTTCCCAAATATGTTTTGTGTTTGTGTGTGCTATGAGAAGGTACCTAGAAATAGATGTAGGAAGAATTACAGGAACTAAGGAAGAAGGCGGTTACAGTGCATTTAAAAATAATGAGGAGGGAATCAGTCTCACCAAATAAAACACATGGAGATGCATCTGAGACAGACATTGTAGAGGCCTTTTATGTTCAGCTGCAGAATAGTGACTTTTAGTGGAAGCTGTTGAAAACTTACCTGTTGCCTTAAAAGACTGGTGTCTGTCAGTAGAGACCTCACTGTGTGCAGTGTTCCAGGTAACTGCTCATCCTCGGACAGCACAAGGTAATGCTGTGTGTCCTGAGATGGCTGAAATCAGACTGGTAACTTATTAAGCTGTAAATTAATTATTTTTTGTAAGCATTTTGTCTAGGTTCTGAGTGTTTCTGTGTTTTTTCCTTCTCCCATAGAGATGGCTAATCCAAAGCAGGTTTTCCACATCCAGTGGACACAAAGACATGCAGATGAACACCACGCCTTTTAATATTCTTACTATACAAATAACTATGCTTTTTTAAGATTTTAAACACATCTTGGACATTTAAAAGACTAAATAAATACTATTCTTGGAAAGATTGCTTTTATAGTAACAGCAAGCATTTTCATCTTATATTGCACTGTTCTGCATGATCTCACCTTTGTAGGCATTGGTGGGAGCAGGATTAGGACTATGAGGAGTAGGAGCCATTTAAGCCTATTATGTAATTTCATTTTCAGGGACCTATTATTTTGCTAATGGAAGAATGCTTTAAAAGTAATAATAATAATTTGTCAACATTGCTTTTGAGGCAGGGCTCCATTTTGTTTTTTAACTAACCTACGACCAAAATGTTATTACATCTATGACTCAGTAAGAATGTACAAGCCTGTTAATACTGTTCTTCATTAATCGCATTTGTTCACTTAGTCTTTATTTATTGCTCCATAAACCAGCAGAGTCACTCACAGCCAGTGTTTCAGCTCAGTCCTTCCAAAAAAATCCAGAAAGATTAGTATGAGGTGGATTAAGCAGGATGCATTTCCTATGTGAAGCTACAGCTTTGTGCCCCAATTCAGTGAATGAGGAAGTCCCTTCAAAGCCAGAGATTTGAACATTTCCCAGGTGTGGGAGCTGTGCAGTGGACTGTGCTTGGTGACAACTGCTAGAGCATGACCCCACGTGCCATCCTGCACACACATGGGGGCTGTGCTGGCAGGGAACAGCCCTGTGGGCTGAGGCAGCACACCTGTGAGAGCTCAGGGTGGACGGGGTGACCCAAGGTGACCCACAGCGCTCCAGCATGTCCTTGTGAAGGAGCAGGACTCAAAAAAAGTCACTGTCATCCTCACCCATGAGCTGTGTCACTCATTTTTGTTGTGCAAGTCCTGGGATCAGGGATGTTGGCTGCCTGGGAGCTCCTGCCTCGAGTTTATGGCCAACAATAGTTGCAATGTGCAACTATCACGAGCTTTAAGTCCTGCAGACAGGGGAGCACTCATGGGGCTGTTATGTGGCTGTAGTGGGGTCTGGCAGTCACCTGCTGGCTGCAGGGCACCCCCAGTGCCCAGGCTCAGCCTTTCCAGGAGCAAACAGTGCCTCCCCAGCTGGGAATGCCATTCCAGAAAGCAGCACCTCCTCCCAAATGCCTGTGGCCATGGCAGCAGATTTCATGCCGGCTGTTTTCCAAAACATGAGCAATTAGAGTACTTCTGCTACATTAGTTTACATAAATAAATACAGCCTCAGCATTAACAGGCACAGAATTTCTAGCCCTGGGAATGGCAGTGTCTGGCAATACATAATGTCCTAAGGAAAAGAAGGGAAAACCTGGACAGTGGTTTTATCCTGTCTCACAAGTCATTGCTCAGCTGAAAGAGGCCCTGTGCCATCTGCCACCCTTAGCAAGGTAGGGTTGTTTTCCTGCCCTTGCAGAAGCTCTGTCACGACCTTCTGGCATCTCCAAGCCATGTATTATTGAAATAAGATTTCTTCAAAATGCACATTATGCCATGTCTACCATTCAGCTACCACAGTATTTTGTATTGTTACATTGATACGTTATGGTAATTGCATTTTTAAATGTTATACTCATACCAATACCTCATATTTTTACCTCATCAGTTGGTATCAGTCATTAGTTGTAAATAAATAATTTCAGAGTTGAATAAATTTGCATACACTAAAGAATCGTGTTTCTTTGTGCTCTTTTTTCATCCACTGGCTCAGGAAATACTGAATTTAAGCCATTGATTTCTTTATCGCAACTTGCTATACACTAAACTATTCTGGTGTGGGACTTCGATAATGACTGCAGGCTCAAAATGATGTTGTCCATTATACTTAGCCTGTAGTATCCTTATGTATACACGAGCTTCATGGCAAAGGTTATGTTTTCCAAATTCAGCCAAGTTTCTGCATCTGTGTTCTTGTCAATAATTTAGGTCTAGGTTCACAGAAGTGACTGGACCTGGGTGAGTGCTGGGTTCACATTGCCAGACTTCAACCATCTCAAATGCAACAAGCCATTGCAAAAGAGTAAAAGGTGCAGTGGCACGATAGTGATTTCTGTCATACACATTCTACAGATGGATTAAATGTTCCTTTGGATGGGTGTTGTGTTATAACCCCAGCTCTATCCCTCCACCTAGAGGGACAGGGAAGGGAATCAGAAAGAGGTAAAACCTATGAGTTAAGAACAGTTAAGAACAGTTTAATAATTGAAATAAAGCAAAATTATTATTATTGTTGTTGTTGTTGTTACTTATAATTTTTGCTGCTATTATTATTATTATTATTGCTATTATTAACGAGAGGATAAAAAAGAGAGGAATAAAATCCAAGAAACTCAAATGATGCACAATACAGTTGGTCACCACCTACTGACCAATGCCCAGCCCATCCCTGAACAGCAATTGTCTCCCCCAGCCAACTCCCAGTTTATATACTGGTCAAGATGTTCTGTGGTATGGAATATCCCTTTGGCCAGTTCAGGTCAGCTGTCCTGGCCATGCTCCCTCCCAGCTTCTTGTGCAGCTCCTCACTGGCAGAGCACAGTGAAACTGAAAAGTCCTTGATTTAGGGTGAGCACTACTTAATAATAACCAAAACATCACTGTGTTACCAACATTATTCCCATACTGAATCCAAAGCACAGTGCTGCAAAAAAAATTAACCCTATTGCAACTGTAAGCAGGTCATGTGCCTATACCACTCCAACTCTCTCTTGACTAACTAAAAGAAGCAGAGTCTCAGAAAACAGGGTGCTGAGCAGCCAACTATGAGAGACCATCTAGGAGGGGACAAGCCTTTATGCCCATCATTCAGAGAAAGCTCTGTATTAAAATTTGGATTGAAAGGAAGCATTTTTTTCCATGTGTCTGCCATGGCAGAGATGTTCAGCTGTGTAAGTCCATCCTTTCTTGCAAAAAACCACTGTATGCCATGCACTCTCATTCCCATTTCTCCCTCCCACTCACTGCAGCAATGTCAGGGCAATGAGGTTGTCTTTAACTTAGCAGCACTAATGTTTCAGCTCCTGGTATGCACAGACTTTGTAGTGTTGAATTCTTGGGCTCCTGTCCTCTCTACAACACCTTGCAGGAGTCACCAGCAGGGCAATCCCTCTGCTTGATGCATTTACACTGCAGAATCAGTGCCACCCTCAGAGGATTTTGGCAGGCCTCAGAGGTGCTGCTCTCTGAAGTGGCTGGTAGGTGTTAGGTGAGAGCACAGGCTGAGCACCCTGAGATGACTGTGAGGTGAAAATATTGGAATAAATATCCAAAAGACTGCTGGAGCCTGCCAATCAGATAAGAAAGGATGAAAACACATACTGCTGCTCCAGCTCAGCTGCGATGTGAAAATGCTGGGGAGTGAACACAGACCTTGCAGACAGAAATCAGCATGACCCACTCACAATCCCATGGGAATTCAGTATGATCATGTCACGGTCTCCTTGCCAGATATGTGTCAGCCACAGCTGCACCTGGGCTTCAATTGGATGGGTGCTAGGCCAGGCAGACTATTTTTACAATGCAGTTACACATCAGGGTGGACAGGACCAGGAATACAAGGCATTAAGCCACAGATTTGTAACAATTGTAACAATGAGATTTTCCTAAAATGTACATTTTAAATTGTGACCCTCAGTTTGAGGGGCCACCCCTGGGCCACTCAGCAGTACAATGTAGAAAGCCAAGTCCCCCAGAGCAGCAATGGATGCAGAGCAGAAACCACTGTGCAACTGCAGACTGCCCTGCTCCATTGTGCAAGACTCTGCTCAGCAAACACAAGGACGTGTGGAACTCAAGGGCAAACACAGGCCAGAGCAGTGGGTCCAGGTTAATGAGTAAATGAGCAAAAATGTCACAACACTGCAACACAGCACTATTTGCCTGTCGTACATAGGCTGATGTTGGGGAGGTCTCACTCACCTGAGATACCCTCCCTAACCCCATAGCAGGTCCCAGACACTAAAGCCTCTATGCCTCTAACAGAGGTCAGCATCTCTTGCACAAAAAGTAACCTGGACACTTAGCTGCCTCCACGCCTTCAACTCTGAAACAAGGATCTCTATCCTGATACCTTAGTTCTGACCACAGGTAGTTATTTTCCACTGCTCTTTTCCACTGCCTGAACACAGCAAGCCCTCTATCCCACTCAGTCCTTGCATGCCTGCCTTCTAACCCAGCCCAGGATGCACAGGAGGACACAGCCTTTAAAGCAGGGTAACCATGGCCAGGTGGTCCAAGCTTCAGCTGCAACGGGGAGTCAGTAATGGCCAGCCTGCCAGGGCTTGAGTACAGAATGTCCTGTGTCCCACAGTAGAGACAAAATACACCAGGGTGAGGAGTCTTTCTCTTCAGGAAGGCCAGAGCACTAAAATAACCATAAGGCTCTGTCCCATTTCAGTGACAAGCTGGGGCTTTTGATCCACTCCCAGGGATGAGTATCCTGCAAGACGGAGAGGCTAAAGGCAGTGAACTGCTCTCTGCCTTGAACAGAGCCTTGAACTGCAGTGTGCAGGTCTTTAGCAGCAGTTTGCAAGGAGACAGGATGAGCTCCTGGCTGTGTTGGAGCTTCAGCAAGAGAATACCTGGTTCTGCTGCAAGAGCAGTTGCATGGAGCTCTGCTGGCAGCCAGCTACAGGATTACAGCTTATTTCTTAACCAAAATGCTAAATTCTGCAAAAGACACAAGGAAAAGACAGCCTAAAACTACATATTCTGCTCTATCTCCTGCTCATAGCAGCTCCAAGATAGACACATGGCCACAAACACAGAGCCAGCATTTACTGCAGGGAGGATTTGCAACAGCTTGCAATTTATGGGAGCAAATTAGCTGCAGGGCCATCTGTCCTTCCCCAGACCACTGGCCTGCTCCTTGTTGGAATGACTGCTATTCCTTGAGAGGATGTGTATCAAATTACTCACTTTTTTTTAGGTTGTTTTTTTTTTTTTTTTTAATTAAATAAACGTGGTAACCATAGGTGGTGGAGCAGAGGACAGTAACCCTCTCAGCAGCAGCATCTGCAGGCCAGCAGTGCCCCACCACGTGTGTGGGACAGATGCTGGGTGAGGGCAGCCTGACCCCCAGAGCCACCCAGGGCCTGCCAGCCCACGTGGCCACCCCACTGCTCCCTGCTAATACCAGCCAGGCTCGCTCTTCATGGCAGTAGGACATGGAACACCACAACTGGTCTGGTTTGACAACAAACAGTGAGTCCTTCTTTTGCCCTGAGACTTTCATTTTAAAGGTAGTTCAAAGCAGGAAGTTTTCATCAACACCAAAACCCCACGCCTGTGCCTCACTGCTGGCCAGCCAGGATGAGAAAGGAGCCCACCATGGCCAAAGTGTAGAGTGGGTTCATGGCTGCTCTGGTGTTTTGCCCAGTGTTGTCTGGTGCCCAGCAGGACAGGAACTCAGAACTGGACCTATGAAGAGAAAGTACAGGATTTTAACTCTTTACCCTGGATTTGTCTTTCCCTGAAGAATCATGTTCCTTTTCTCCTGGGCCAGGGAGGAGGGACTACATTAGGGCCTTAGCCAGGACCCCAGAACTGGGCTCAACCCCATCTGTCGCTTTGCAAAAGAGGCAAAAAAAAAATGTTTAGGAAAAACTTCCCATTGTTCAGTGGCTGTACTTGGGGATACCCAGTGAGCAATGGGGCTGCTGGTCAGGAAGGATAAACTCAGCTGCTGCAGATGCATTGGTGCAGTACTGGCAGCAATGCTGACATGCAGCACACATCAACACCTCCCTCTGTGGCCGTGGGACACCCAGAACACCATCTCAGAGCCAGTTCTTGTCCCTCTTTCCTGTTTCCTACAAGGCTGGAGAGCCCAAGCCCGCCTGCCCACTAGCACAGCATGGATGCTCACCTTTGCCAACAGGGAACCCATCCACCTCATCATGGAGAGAGCCATCACCTTGGGGATGTGTTTTAATTACATCCCTTTCCCAAACACTGAACCATCCCCTATGCACAAGCATCACCTTGGATGGGGTTCACCGCCTGGCCATGCTGATGCCCTGCCTTTTTAACCTATGATTGTCCTAATGTCCTTCTCTCCACAGCCAAGGAGCTGCCAGAACACTTGTAAAGTGTTGGGCAGTGACATTCATTGCACTGCTGAAACCACCAGGACAGCAATGGAAAAGTTTGTGGTTATTATCAATACAAATAAAAATAAAGGTTGCAAATGATGAAAATTAAAAGGGTATCACTGGGTTAAGACAAAATGTTACAATATGGCCTCCTTGGCCTCCCAATATGTTTTGCCTTGGGCAACCTTTTCCAGCAATGGCTGGTATTTATCAGAAAAAAGATACAGTTATTGCATTTGGGTTTTTCAAATAATTGAGTAATTTAATCTTTTAAGTACCGCTGAGATCACTTGCTGTAATTAAAGACAGAAGATGAATGACTGCAGTACAAGAGCATTGGAGGACTTTAAAAATGAACATGTCCTTGACTGCATCTCCTGCTCATTTATGTAACGATGATCCCACACTAATATGACTAAACAGATAAAAGGAGAAAATAATAAGAGCTTGGTTGCATTATTTTTCTTCCAGCCCAATAATAATATATCATCAGCCAGAGGAATGTGCCCATGAATACCAAGCAAGAGCAACCACGTGCTGCCAAGAGCAGGACCCCACCGCCTCCTGCTGTGAGGCG